AAAGAGTAAGTTCAAAGGAGAATTTCAATACTCCAGGACAAATCTGTTTACATAGAGTTTTCTTTGTATGACATTCTGCAAAAAGGATGCTAGCAGAGATACCTGATTTCAGAAAAAAAAACCAAACAGCACAGATCTTACCCTTTTGGAAAGGCTGGAACTGGAGAATCCAGGTTTGGCAAAACTACAGGGTTACCTAGGACAATTGTCACAGGTTTAGGGTCTCTGGCAAAGACACTACTGGAAGCAGGAGGTATTCTGAAAGCAACAGCAGAAGCTTTTCCAAACCAACAAGAAAAAACCATGCAGCCATAAAGTCAGTCAGGTACCAACAGTGAGGAAGAGATACTGGATGAAAGCTAAGGAAAAAACAGACCAGTCTCTTTGAAAACAATTTTAGCATTAAGAAATGTGTCATCTTTGTCTAAGAGATCATGGGACATTGTGTTAAAAGCATACTCGGAGAATCTGCCCTCAGGAGAAACTCAGTGTAGTATTACTAAGCACCCAGTAGCTTCCACAGATTTGTGCCTAGTAGACAAAGTCATTCACTTATTAGATAAGGCACTCAGCTCTGGATCTAAGAGTGTATTTTTTCAATCAAGGTAAAGGAGGAGCATACCAAAACACAAGTACTCCCCATGGCCCCTGTTCCTACTCAGTACACAGAAAACAGAACGTAACACGGGCGTCCAATGCCGAAACTGCAGCTTTGTCTTCTACTTAAAGTGGTACTTTGCCCAACACCATACACTGCTAAGACCAGAATAATTCTCAAGAGAAAAGAGCCCCATCATAATGCTCCCTAATGTAAGCCATCTCAAAGCAGGACAAGAGGAGACAGATTTATTGGATGCCATCCCCACAACCAGACCAGCAGTCTAGGTGCTGGACTTTTTCCTCCACTGCTCAGACTTCCCTGCTTTCCACATCCACTGATCTAGTACCTGGAAAAGCACATCTCTTAAAGCTGTCTCCTGGGCAGTGACCATGGATAATCTCTACACTGACACAGTATGTCAACACACAGAAGAGACTACACAGGAATTTCATCAGACACACTAGTAGCCACAGTAGTTTTAAGTAGTTGACCATGTCTCAAGACAGCAGAAATAGCCAAGATCTGGGTTCAGCATGTAGATGAGAGTGTGCTCACAAAACACCCCATCTTCTGCAAATGTAATAAATTAAGTGCTTGGTCTCTGAAAAATAACACATTTAATTCCTGTATGAAGCATGTTCACTGGCAGGCAGTGCTATGGAAATAAAACCACTGCTCTGTCACACCAACTACCACATCATTTGAAGTGAACGAGAAGCTCAGTTGCACTAGTTCAGTTTGCAGCAGGCACAGGTGCATCAATAAAACGCTCATCTTAGCTGTGGAAACTTTACAGCTCAGCATCAGACACCAAGTGATGATAGGAATGTGCCTCCTTCTGACAGAGCCAGCAGCTGCGGATGTCAAGGCAGAGTATGAAAAGCTATTGAGTGATAGAAAGCTATTTCCAACATAGTGACTAAAGCTCCGGAGCTGAATCCGGTTTGGCAGAGAACCATAATCCGCATTTACTGCCTCACTAAGCTATCAGTAACACACAGGTGGAGCAAGGAGCCAGCTTCGACGGGACAGCAAGGCTCAGCAGCTCACCACCACCCTCTTGCGGGCACCGAGCAAGAAACAAGCGATAAAAACGAGTAAAGTTCATTATCACAGCATGGCTTCAATTAACCACTTAACAAAACAGATGTTCACACATTTCTAATACCACTGATCTCTTTCTGAAATCCTAATACAGGGGAACACATGTAAAAACATCTGCTAAAACCCAAAATCAATCACATAAGTTAAAAAGCAAATATCTAATTAGCAAGCCGGAATACAAACACACACAGAATGACTCCCCTGTGTTCCTCCTGGGTGGAGGCCAACCATGTCCATCACACACACAAAGCCAAGAGAGGTCACACTTCACCCTGCAGTCAGTATTTGCAGAGCTTGCTCCCCATGACATCACAGCCATTCCTCTTCCCAGGCAGAGATAAGCCTTCAAGTTCCTGCCTCATGATGGAAAGAATAACTGATGGGCTTGCCAAGACCACAAGTCCACAGCTCAGAAAACTCCTCTCGTAAACCAGGGAAGGCAAAAATAAGGTTTTGTTGGTTTGAGGGGGTTCTTTTGATAAGCAAAAGCCCTAGTAGCAGAATGCAGACAGTTTTAGCCTTTGTTCAATCATAACTACCAAATCTGTGGCAATACCAGCTGCAAAGTTTTCTCTGGCCTTGGCACTATGCAAATAAAGCCAGCAGCAGTTTCTCCTTATAGTAACTATTTGAAACAGAACATGTGTTTTCATGTGCTCAGTCAAAAAAACCCACTGAGAAAGTTTTCTTGCTGATAGCTTCCTGACAGCAGTTTTCTTTGCCTCAGTAACATTTGGGATGAGCCCTCCAAAACTGTATCAAGCAAGATGCTACAATAGCAGCACTGACAAAAAACCTATCTGTCCCAGACTACACAAACTTTTGGTTTATATTACAAGCCTTTTGACCAACAGCACCAGCCACCAGAAGAGGACAGGGGAAATTACCTCCACATCTTTGGGGTACTACATCCAGACTGCAGTTTGAAAACTTTCTACCAGAATTGGCATTGGAAGAAAGTTACAAGTCATAGAATCATACAATAGCTCATGTCGGAAGGAACATCAACAGATCACCTGGTCCAGCCTTTTATAGTACAGGGAGCCTGGATGAGATTATCTAGCACCCTCTTCAATCACATCTTGAAAGCCTCCAGCGATGGAGGCTCTATACGTCCCTGGGATGTTGTTCCAGTTATTGACTCTTCCCTCTGTAAAACATTTCTTTCTTCTATCACAAGGAAACCCTGCCCAGTGCAACTTGGACCCATTGCCCCTTGCCTCCTCCATGTGGCTCCTTGTGCAGGGCAAGCCTCCCTCCTCTGTGTAGCTGCCCTTTAAGCATTGGAATATTGTGATGTGGCCCCCCGAGCCTTCTCTTCTCCAGGGAGACTCAGTTCCTCCAGTTTTTCCTCCAAGGGCAGGTTCTCCAGCCCTTCGATCGTCTTTGTTCTTCCTCAGCTCCAAGCAGCTCCTTCTAGCCCCCACACTGCCTCCAGCTTTGTGTCAGCAAATATTTTGTCAGCCACATAAAGAACCAGATCAGACAACTGATTTGGCTAAAAACTAACTCAAATATTTATTTTTTTTATGCAATAGCTTATCAGTCAACATACAGATAGACACACAGGTAGGCTGACAAAAAGAAAGAGCAGAGCTGCTCTCTGGCAGTGGCACCAGCTCAAACTGTCCCTCAAGATATACTTTGCAAATCTGAAAGAACATAAGCATAGCTCATCCATGCAAACTGCAAGTTAGTCTTGCACTGCTCTTCATCAGAGAAGATGAAAATCTTCTATTTCTCTAGAAGATCCAACATCAACACTCCAAAAAATAACTGCCAGGGGAAACAAATACTAATTTGACAGAAAACAGGCTCAGCTGAAAGACATAAGGATAGAGGAGAAGTGCTTTGCAGGCAGCACTAAAAGCTGCTGTCACACACACCACTCTCAAAACAAGTGTATCAGAAGCTGGCACTTGTGCCATTACCACAATCCAGTGGCACAGACAATATCCTAAACCAGTTCCATTCCATACAGTACAGTATTTACTGGTAACAAACTCACTCACAAGCCTATTACAGGAATCAGAGTATAAAGAGACACTAGAAACAGATTTAGCAAAAGGTTTATTTCAAACAGCCTAAGCAAAGTAGTTTCAGAAGAGAATTATGGAGGAATAATAGAAAAACCTCTCAGGTGCAACAGTTTCTGGGCTGGCCCAAGAGACATGAACATTTGGCAATTTAAACAAGACACACACAGCAACCAGGTGTTTGCTAGAGTTTTGCAAAAACAGATTTGGTTTAACTGACTTCAACAGCAGCCAGCCCATTATGGTCAACTGCATCATCCCACTTTAGACAACCCTATCCAAATACCTTCAAATCTTTTGTGGCTGTCGTAGTCCTCAGAGCAGGGGATCTCAATGAACTTGTCCTGCAGGTTCTCGCTGTGACGGGCCAGCACCTCTGTGACCCCATCCTCGGCGCCCAGGTACCTCCAGCTCAGGAGGCCACCGACGGCAGCAGCGGAGAGAAGGAACGCTGCCTTCAGCCACCCCCACCGGGACTCTTGCTGGCCTCTGCTCTTCTTGGCGCTGAGGAGGGAGCACAGCCACAGCCCCACGTAAGCGAACGGAGCCGTTGAGGACCCGCTTTGGCCACTACCCCACCCGATACCGGGGAGACCCGGTCAAGGGCCGGTACCCCGACTGACCCCTGGCTTTGAGCATACACAGACTCCTTTAAAACACACGCCCTTTCTATCCCTCTGTCAAGCCCGGCGGTTACAGGCCGCCCTCCCACCGGAGCCG